TATCCCAGTCGTGTCAAGAACTGAGATCCAGAGACTCTGCACACATGTTCGTTGAAGCGATGTAGAAGCTGTCCCTGGGGCTCGGGTCTGGTGAGCTCGGCGCCGGTGCTTGCGATGGCCTTTCGGAACACTTCGATGGTCTCCAGGCGCGTGATGGGTCCGCCTCGACGTCCATAGAAGAGGTATTCGTCATTTCTGTCGGTGGTCGGGCGATGGTTGCGCCGAATGAAGGTGTCCAAAGCATGGTATGGACAGAGGGCCGCCATGTTGTCGGAGCATGTGCATGGGTGCGACCGTGTAATACACATACCAACTGTGTCTGTTTTGTGACAGGGGAGCGTGAAAAACGCCAACCTGCCAAAGGCGGTGGTCTCGAACCAAACGTTGGAGAACCAAGCTGCTGCCACTTCGATGCCCCGAAGCATCCACCAGCAGCAAATGAGGGTAACGAGGACGCAGTCGTAGAGGTACTCTGCCCAGTGGTCTTCCGCTGGTGGTGGTGTAGTGGAGCTGTCCGTTGTGGCTGCGAGGTCCTCGACAATGAATGCGTCCTTGAGCGTTGATGGGCCTAGACCCCGCTCGATGCTCCTGATGCACATGGTGATCTGCTGCTCGATGTCCGCGGAGAGTCTGCATCCGGGCTGCTGTCTTGCCATACTGAAGACTTGAGCCGAGGAACGGCACCTGCCTCGCTTGAGGCTGGATGCGATGGCCTGGACGAGCTCTGCCGTAATCGGGAGAGGCGGTAATTTCCATGATGTAGCCAGGCGAGTCCAGAGGTTCCATCTCGAGTCCCGCGTATTGCGGGTGGTGTTGGCATACTGGTCCCTCACGAGGTTCTGGATCGCCTCCTGTTGTACTGCTGGCGCCGCCGCCTCCAATGCCCCGATGATGGATCCCCTCGTTGACGATGTTACCACGGGTAGATCTCTGCGTCCGCGTGTCCTGATCTCTGTGGTGCGCTTGGGGATGGATCGTCCCAGCAATCGACAGAAGGCCTCGAGGTCTCGTTGTTCTGGCGCTACAGCTAAGACTTGCTCTGGGGTGAGGCCGTTCATCTGGTCGATGTTGCGGACGCCCTGGTCCACCAGTCTCAGAGCAAGGTGTGTGAGGTCATCGCGAACCTATCAATCGTATGGGGATCCTACTGTTATTCTGGATCTTGAGGGCCATAACCGCCCATCTATGCCATAACAGCCAAGCATGATGACTATGCAAATGGGCGTCCGACATGCTGCGCGGTGCCTCACTTTTCTCCGGTGAGGTGTCGAGGCTCTCCCAGGAGCTCTCTCAGATGTTCTAGGTGGGCGCATTCATGGGCCAGACTGGGCGCATAAGCGCAAGAATTAACTAAGCGGATGGTGACCGCCTTTGTAGCCCCAGGAACCTTCGCCTACTAGGCGGTAATCCCAACTGGGGTTCGACACTACATGGTGACTGACTGTCCTACTAGGGACCCTTGCCTAGGCGGAAATCCCTATCCGGTAGGCTCGCTCAGGTCTCCATTGCTGATGCGCTCCGCTTGGCGGCGTTCCGGAGTCTGCCCACCGCATGGTCCTCGGCGAGGCGGAGGCGCAAGTAGGTGAGCCCCAAAAACTGCAGAAGTCCTTCTGTGTCAGGATCTGGGTGACTCCGGCTTCATAGGTGTACATGGTCATGTCATAGTAAGGCGGGTCGTTGAGGTACTCGACGAGACCATAGTTGCGCGCGGTGTCGTGGCTGTTGAACTCCTCCCTAAAGAACTTGTCGGGGTACCTGGAGGTGGGAAGGAGGTCCAAACGGTATGGTGGGTTCAGGACGCTGTTCCTGGCCTAGGGCAGCGGCTGGTTCTTGTTCGCGACGTCCTTGAGGGCCTCCGTGATGAATTGGTTGAAGTCGTCGCGGTCGGTGATCTCCTGCTGGATGTTGAGGATTGCCAGCTTGAGCTGCTGCAATAGGCGATCCTCGTCCTTCTTTTCCGGGCAGTTGTACCGTCCATGTTGGTCCTTGACGGGGGCGAGCGGTGATATCTTCCGAAGCCAGTGCTTGTTGTCCACCACGGCCTGGCATGCATATGTAGTGTTGCTGCATGGTGTCGGTGATGTTCGAGGCCCACTCGGTGAGGCGGTTGTCCGCCTCGATGCGCTGGAAGAAGGCATGGCGATCCCAATCCGGGTCTAGGGCCGACTTGATGGTGTCCTCGTCCCACTGTCGGAACGCCGCCATGATGCGCGCGCGGTCTCCTTCTGTTGAGCTCAGGATGTCCACGGTGAAGCGGTCAACGAGGGCCAAGATACGTGCCCGCACCTGTGCACGAACTTCTGCCTTGTTGAGCCCCGGGTGTTCTTGATGGATTTGCTCGGATGCAGCTGTCCAATAGGTGTTCCGCAGACGATGTTGCTCCCCTGCTTCACGGCGTCTGATGGTGATGACTTTCTGGCAGAGCTTGTAGAAGGTGTCCACATCCAACGTTGTGGCCTGATTGGGGTTGTTGGTGCGGGGTATGACGACATGGCGCACCCACCGGAATTTGTTGTCCGACCACATGGCCTCGATGCACAACTTGCGCTGGTGCTGGTTGTTCTCGTCCAAGGCGATGACCCAGCGCTTGGGGTACTTCTCGTAGTCTGCATCCTGATTGGCCACTGACGCGCAGTCCTGGTGTCTGTAGTTGGTGCGATTGGGGCTCACCGCGGTGCCGGTGAACCAGTAGTAGTCGTCGTTGTCCCCGTTGATGCACTGGAAGCAGCATCTGTAATAATGATTGCGCCAATCTGCTGTTGCTTCTGGGGTTATGTCCAGCAACCAGTAAGGCGGAAACCATGCCCCGCAGAACGTGCAATCGAGGCAGTTTTCTGCTGGGTTGTTGTCCTCGGCGTGCTTGAGGAGGTCCAGGTACACCTCGGCGCGCTTCATGGTGTCCACTGCCTTGGCTTCGATGACATCGCCTGTGGGGTCCGGCACGTCGGTGGCCGATGCCCCGGTGAGCCGATCAATCCACTTGTGCATGAGGTCGTCCGAACTGAGGCCCGGGAAGGTGCTCCGAAGACTACGAAGTGCTGCTCGCTCCAACGATGTCCGCTGCGCTATGTACTCGAAGGCCCGCTCGGTGAGCCGTGCGTTGTGGGTTCGAACGATGGCCCTGGCGCGCTCGTTGCCATAGGTGAAGTCAAAGTTGCGTTGCTGCTGGCTCGAGGAAGGTGCCGACATGATGCTATTGGGGCAGGAGCGGGGTCAAGGCGCTAGCTT